TTGAAGTGGCATAAAGTAGTGGCAAGTGGCGGTTGGGAAGTTGTTGCTGCTGTTGTTGTTGGCCTGGCCTGGCTTGGCTCGTCTCGGCTTGGCTTGGCTTGCTTTTTAACCATTTTTGTTTGGTTGTGGCGCTCACCGTTCAGCGTTCTCCCTTTAGACCCAAAGACCCGCAGACCCAGACGACCGCACACACACAATAATGATGGAAAATGTAATACAACCTAGCAATGCAATTAATTTTCAAAAATTAATATGTAAAAAGAAACATGCATTTAATATTTACCATAATAATTAAAGGAAACATGTCAAAATGTTAAATGCATATTAATTCAAATGAAACAATAAGGTTATATAATTGATTTTAAAACAATACATGACAAAGAGTTGTCAAAAGTTAATTATTGCATTAATTGGTAGTTGTAGGTTACAAGTCCTAAAACACCATCCACCAACGTATGAATGAGTAAAGAGAGCCAGGTAGATCCTGAACCGGCGGAGAGCTCCTCCTGGGTTGTAATGGGAAATGAAATGAATGAATGAGCATAAGCACTTTTTTGTTTGTCTGTTTGTCCCTGTGTTTGTTTGTCGGTGGCTTCCTTGGTGAATGCGTGTATGTGTGCACGGGTGAGTGTGTTGGTGGGTGTGTGTGTGTGCAGACGGTAGAACTGAAATGATGCACTTCAAATTAAAATGCGAATGCAAGCGAAAACTTCAAAAGAAGCACTAGAACAGAAAACAGAAGCGCAAACGAGATACTAATAGACAATGCCAAATGCTCGGGGATCTCTATATATAGTTCTTACCCCTGTTTCTGTGTGTGTTTGTCTGCTTGTGAGTCATCAGAAAGGGGGCGCTGGTCTTAGGTAGGCGTGGTTTCTTCATTGAATGGAAGGACCACCACAAACACACTAACACACTGTCCCAGCGAAAGTGTCGCCGTCTAAGTGTGTGTTTTTAGACATCCAACGAAGGATAAAGTTAGCGACGATGACGAAGCAGGACATAGAATCATCCTGTGAGCCTAGCGATGGCTTTCAACTCAAAACTTAAATCAGTTTTCAAATCAAATCATTAAATTTCAGCTTTAAATCACCAATTTTTCTTATTAAGAAACAAGAGCGAATTACTTACTTTTTTTAGTCTCTAGGCGGTAATTAAATATATTGCTTTCATCAGGTGCGGTGCTTGTAAACATTTTTTATCACCTTCTGTTTAAGTGAGCCCGACCAACTAGTCGGATACGTAATATTGAGAAAAAACGAATGTTTCCAGCAAAATTACATGAAAAGTAAATAATGGTCTGTGTTCATTAATTAAATTCGAATTTGATTGGCCTTTGGGACTTTCAGGCAAAGTGATCTGGTCCAACTAGTCGTATACGTAATATTGGTGTGAGGGAACATTGGTGTCAAGAAAAGAATCTACCTTATGTATTTATATGAATTATAAATAAATTCATGTGAGAAGGTTAGAAATAATAACTAAATTAAAGATTCTATCGTTATTCATACATTTACGCATAATAAGTTCTTTCAAGCAACTAGTCGTATACGTAATATTTGGATGATTTATTATTTTTTTTCTCGTTAACAAAAAATATAAAAATATCAAGAAAAAAATCTAAGAAAAAGGCTTTATACTTAAAAAAAATAAACACTAACTATTTTTAAACAATTTTCATTATTAAAATATATTATTTAAGTCCACAAAAATGTTCTAAATTGATTAACTAAATCTAAAACCCAAGCCAGACTGAAAACAATCATCAGGAATCGCTCCAAATCACTCGGAATCCGTGCTTAGATTGAATTTCGATTCGGCTCGATTCGATCACGTTCTCGGGCACGAACGAGGTCACGCGCCCATCCCTAATACAAATGCACTTTGGACGTGGCCGACGCGCGCTAAATTCGCCTTAATTCACTTTTCATACAAAACAGGAGCAGCACAAAAGCACGCCCCACACGCACACCCTCACAGGCCCTAACACACACACAAGTAGAGAGCGCGGGAGACACCGACACAGACAGGCGCACACACAGAGAAGCAAATGCATGTTTGTTGTAATTAATTTAAAATATTATTACAAGAGCGCGCGCGAGTGCTAAACTAAAGAAGAAAGCAGAAACAGGAGCCGAGGTGGCAGCAGGAAAAAGGATGCCCTCCTACCGAAGCGAGGGGGTGGGGGGCGAGGAGAGACGCACAGGAGCAGACAGTGACAAGGCAACGTTAAATAATTATAGCCCGAGCGAACTGCAAACAGAAAGCAAACAAACACAGTGGCAGCAAACAGCATGAGATCGAGGGGGATGTGGCTAAATAACCGTATGCTGGAGGTTTTATACACACATATGTTAGTGTGTGGGCAAGGGGGTAAGTCTGCCAAGTGTGTGTGTGCCCGGGAACTAAAAGTCCCTAACCCCGAAACCAACTTTATTTTTAATTGATGCGACAGTAAGCAGGAACAGCAAATCAACAAGCGGAGGAAAAAAAGCGACATGGCCGTTGTCGGCCAAGAAAAAATAACGAAAACCCAAATTGAAAAAATGAGCAGAAAAAAAAAAACAACAACGAGCCAAGAAAGTAATAAACGTAAAGCTATTACAAAATCTGATAATGGTCCGAGGGCATGGCAATGAGGCAGGCAAATAAACGCAAGCCGGCTAACACGGACACACTCACACACATACACAGCAACAGCAAAGGGAAACTCGTTAGAAGAGAGCCAGGCAGATAGACAGAGCGCGGAATGAGTGGCAATGGAACAGGACAATAATGCAGGCCATCGAAACCGTAACAAAGTGCAGAGCGCACAGAGCTGCGGCACATAAAACCCGTTACAATATGTCCTGCCACAGCGGCAACAACAGCGCCAGGAGCAACATAAACATTGAGGCGCGCGTGCTGCGACGGCTGCCGCAATATTAATTTTACGAATGAACAACCCTTGAATAGGCATGCACTTCATGTCCTTTAAGAGTCTCATCTGGCTCACTCTCTCTTCCGATGGTTGACTCTCTTTAAAGAGAGAGAAGTCCTTAACTCTCTCTTTGCTGTCAAAGCTTTCGCCCTTCGTTTAACTTCGTTTATTAGACGATGTTTAGCTTACATGTGTGTGAGTTGGTGTGTGTGTGTGTGTGCGCGCAAGGGTAATTGCGTGAGTGTGTGTACGTGGGCTTGAGGCCAGTTGCTTTTTCATTGTGCATTTCCCAGAGGTGCATTTTTCTGAAAATCTAATTTGAGAGATTGAGATTGTTTGGTCTTTCAATGTTCGTGTTGCGACGCTTGCAATTTCTGGCCACCAACAACAATAAAGGCATTCCCCACACTCACACACACACACACTTACTATATTGTATTCTATACAAATACATATTGGACCCTAAGAGTGGCTTGTGCGAGTGTAAGTGTGTGTGTGCCCATATATTTATGCAGCAGAGGAGCATATTGTGGAGTTATGGCCTTGTCTGGGAAATTCACCAAGTCACAGTCACACGCTCACTTTAATTGGTAGAGCGCAACGTCGCCACGCTGCGGCAATTTCAGCTGAAAAATCTACATGGGAGATTTGCTAGTGGCGAGTGTAATGCCAAGAGCAGCGGAAAACGCAGAAAAAGCAGCAGTTGCAACAACAGTAACAGTGGCAGTAGCATCCACATGGCAGCGACTTCAATCATTGCGCGCCACGCTCGCTGCGGTTTGACAAACATTTTTCACAGAATGTGCGAAGGCGAACCACCAAGCGCCACACCACCCAACCACCCATTTCACTTGTTTGATGGGACACGGCCAAAAAAATATTATTAACTTTCGGATTTAGATTTTAGCCAAATTTTATTCAAAATGTTATTAGTTGGGAGGAGAAAAGATAAAAGTAAGTACCGGGTATTATCAGTGCTATTTAGTATTTTAATAGTTTTATTTCTAGTTTTTAAGCTGCTCGATGTATAACATTCAATTTTTAAACTAAGACTGCCTAAAATATTGATTGAAACAACACTTTTTCCTGTGCATCGAAGCGAAACTTTGCTTTCTTTGCGAAACTTTGCTTTGCGAAAAAACTCCTTTGGCCTCACCCGTCCCTTACTTATTCGTATATGTTTGATGGGTATGTGAGAGTTTTATGGCTGTATTGGGAATGAGCTGTGAGCAGAAGCAGAATGCTGTGTGGCAGAGCAGAGGGAGGGGTGGAGGCAAGGATGAATCAGGATCAGAAGCAGGCGTCAGGCTTTAACTTTGGCTTCAGCCTGGCGCCTCTTTTCAAGGGGCAGGAGGCTGTGGAGGCTGATTGGGTTATGCTGTGATTTTAATTTTGAAATCATACGAATGCGAGCGCTGCAATGCAAAGCGATACGATACATGAGCGGATTTATTTATGCACACATACACTCGCACATAAAAAAAACGTATCTGTGTGTGTGTGTGTGTGAGCGTAAAGCGATAAAGCGCCTTACAGGATTTTGCATTGGACTGCTGCTGTTCGCAATTTGATAAGCTACCTCTGGGCATTATTTTTACGACTTTGTTCCTCTTCGTACAAATACACGCATTTATATGCATATACCAGACGCCGGGAAATATGCAATAAAATATTCCGGATTTTAAGCGTAAATCAAACGAATCTTATTGTTTTCAATTTGTACTCATTCCCATTTCATCTCTCCATCCCTCTTTATTTTTTTAACAAGTCTCGGTCCCGGCTTAGACACTTCTTTTCGACCCCTGATACCACTCACAACGCAGACAGACATTCCAGAAGTGTGTTTCAATTGAGGAGAGCTGGTATGATGTTGAAGGTTACTCTTCAATGAGGCTTTCCTGGAAACCGACAAGTACTCGTACATTTTTCGAGCCGGAAAACATTTATTATGTATTCGCCCGGGTGAACAATTTAAACGCTCATTTAAAACGAAGGACCAGTCGGCAATAAATGAAATTCAAACCAAATTAAACAAGATGTAGCTGGAAGAACTTAAAGTTTGGCGAGAAAAACACATGAGTTATCCCAAACAATATGTGAAGCAGTATTTATTGTGCTTGTAATCAATCATCTACATCCACATTTCACAATACAATAGAGCGAATTTACATTTACAGACGTACGTATAAACTAAGCTATATAAGGTTCGGATAAAGCGTTTCAAACATATGACTTTGGGGCATATGGATATGGTAAAAACATACATACATACAACTACAACTAACAACTATTGTGGAGACGGAAACGTTAAGGCTTTACACTGAAAGAATCAAGGATAGTTGAAGTAGAAAGACATGCCCTAAAATGGTTACAATTGTTAAATAGACTTAAGGATCTCATAAGAAGAGCCTGACGAGGGCATATAGCGCCCAGGCGGCTAACGAATAGAAAACAGCCAGCGTCGTGTAGTGTAGGACCTTCAATCTGAAAAGAAAAGAAAAATGAATTAGTCCTGCCCGGACTCAGCAAGTATCAGACTTACCTCTCATAGCGCTTAATGGATTCGGGAATATTGCTAGGATCATCCTTGACCACATAGAGCCGCAGTCCGTAGAGACTAACCCGGAATAGATTGGTCCAGTCCAGATCACGCATATCGAAGGCGAAGAGCCTCTTGTCCCGGTCGTCCAACTTTGCTGTTAATTTTCTTACGTTATCGTTGTCGAAGCGGAACTCATTTGAACTGAAGTATTTAAGGACGTTGCTCAGTTTATGAATTTTGCGGTAGATTTTCATCATTCTAAGGACAAAAAAGAAAAGTATTAAAACCTTTATTCCTAAATACAATCAAGTAAGCTCACCTTGGCTTCTTGCCTATAAGAACCATAATGGCATCCATAACCAGGGCGGGCAACGTGTGGTAGAGGAAGCACAGAATGTGGTACTGCCACATGTGTGGCACAATCGTGAATCGCGGATACCATATGGATTTTCGCATGGGAATGTCGCAGCCGTACTCGAAGCCATCCTCCATGTAACGCCTCCAGCTGACCATGTTCTCCTGATCCGGCACATAGTTGTAAATCGGTGGCGTTTCATACCTAAACCAAAAAAAGAGTAATGGTGAGCATCCTATGGCAATTATAGGAAAGAGGACTCACTTGTTGCGTGCTATATCCCAAGCACTGGCCAGCAGGGCATTCACACACATGTCCACCGGCACGATATGCGCCTTGTTATCCATGTCGCCGGTGAAGACCCGAAGGACTCCCGAACCAATGCCCACAATAACGCCGCAAGGACCATACATGTTGTCAATCCAGCCAGTGACCGGTTCACGGTAGGTAGTGATGACTGTGAAGTAATAGGTGTTTAGAGAGCATTGTTTAAAAATAAAAATAATATAATGGTACTGATATTTTTAAAGCTTCCGGTTCAAAAACCTGCTTCACCAAGCTATAAAATTGAGAATTTAGAATAATGGATTTTAACAGCAATTCAAAAGAATTTAAAAAGTCGTTAAAAAATACTATAACTTTAAACAACTACAAGCAAAAGATCATCACCTTGAAATACTTCTGCTAAAACAACAATTAAAATAAACCTGATTTCAACTCACCAATTCCGGGTCTGAAGATGGTGACTGGCAGATTCTGGGCACTCTGTTGAACCACATTTTCGGCCAGGACTTTGGTAAAAGTATACGTATTTGGATATCCCTTGATGATGGTTGGAGTTAGGGTATTCAGAGTGTGCTCATCGAGGCATTCACTCAGCTTAAAAGCATTTTCCCCGGTCATGGTGCCGCTGTAGAATCTCTCCTGGATGTGACGCATATTGCAGTGGGCAAATGCAGTGGAGACGTGGACAAGTGCCTACATGAATAATAAACGGTTTTTAAATAAATATAATCAAGGAAAAAACATTTTATCCAGAAGCCTATATACGCGTTCAGTTCCTAATCTCATTTAGCCGACTCAATAGGAATCTCAGCTTCTTAGGATATAGATAAATTAAAAAAACTTCATGGTCCCAGATTTAGATGATAATTTGAAAGAATCGATGTCCAAATCATTTAAGGTATTCCGCTTAAGAATCGGAGCAGTATTGACAAAGATATGGCCTTCGCTGGGGACCAAATTCTTGTTTCAAACATTTTCCCAATTTTTGAAGGGAGTCCTCCAGAAAATTTGACAAAAAATCGAAAAAATATTTCGTCCTCAGATTTTGATGCAGATTGATAGAAAATCGATGTACAAATCGTTTAAGGTATTCCGCTCAAGAATCAGATGAGTATTGACAGAGATATAGCCTTCGCTGGGAGCCAAATTCTTGTTTCATGCATTTCCCCAATTTTTGAAGGGAGTCCTCCAGAAAATTTGACAAAAAATCGAAAAAATATTTCGTCCTCAGATTTTGATGCAGATTGATAGAAAATTGATGTACAAATCGTTTGAGGTATTCCGCTCAAGAATCAGATGAGTATTGACCGAGATATAGCCTTCGCTGGGAGCCAAATTCTTGTTTCATGCATTTTCCCAATTTTTGAAGGGAGTCCTCCAGAAAATTTGACAAAAAATCGAAAAAATATTTCGTCTCCAGATTTTGATGCAGATTGATAGAAAATCGATGTACTAATCGTTTAAGGTATTCCGCTCAAGAATCAGATGAGTATTGACCGAGATATAGCCTTCGCTGGGAGCCAAATTCTTGTTTCATGCATTTCCCCAATTTTTGAAGGGAGTCCAGAAAATTTGACAAAAAATCGAAAAAATATTTCGTCTCCAGATTTTGATGCAGATTGATAGAAAATCGATGTACAAATCGTTTGAGGTATTCCGCTCAAGAATCAGATGAGTATTGACCGAGATATAGCCTTTGCTGGGAGCCAAATTCTTGTTTCATGCATTTCCCCAATTTTTGAAGAGAATCCTCCAGAAAATTTGAAAAAAAATCGAAAAAATATTTCGTCTCCAGATTTTGATGCAGATTGATAGAAAATCGATGTACTAATCGTTTAAGGTATTCCGCTCAAGAATCAGATGAGTATTGACCGAGATATAGCCTTCGCTGGGAGCCAAATTCTTGTTTCATGCATTTCCCCAATTTTTGAAGGGAGTCCAGAAAATTTGACAAAAAATCGAAAAAATATTTCGTCTCCAGATTTTGATGCAGATTGATAGAAAATCGATGTACAAATCGTTTGAGGTATTCCGCTCAAGAATCAGATGAGTATTGACAGAGATATAGCCTTCGCTGGGAGCCAAATTCTTGTTTCATGCATTTCCCCAATTTTTGAAGGGAGTCCTCCAGAAAACTTGACAAAAAATCGAAAAAATATTTCGTCTCCAGATTTTGATGCAGATTGATAGAAAATCGATGTACAAATCGTTTGAGGTATTCCGCTCAAGAATCAGATGAGTATTGACAGAGATATAGCCTTCGCTGGGAGCCAAATTCTTGTTTCATGCATTTCCCCAATTTTTGAAGGGAGTCCTCCAGAAAATTTGACAAAAAATCAGAAAAATATTTCGTCTCCAGATTTTGATGCAGATTGATAGAAAATCGATGTACAAATCGTTTGAGGTATTCCGCTCAAGAATCAGATGAGTATTGACAGAGATATAGCCTTCGCTGGGAGCCAAATTCTTGTTTCATGCATTTCCCCAATTTTTGAAGGGAGTCCTCCAGAAAATTTGACAAAAAATCGAAAAAATATTTCGTCTCCAGATTTTGATGCAGATTGATAGAAAATCGATGTACAAATCGTTTGAGGTATTCCGCTCAAGAATCAGATGAGTATTGACAGAGATATAGCCTTCGCTGGGAGCCAAATTCTTGTTTCATGCATTTCCCCAATTTTTGAAGGGAGTCCTCCAGAAAATTTGACAAAAAATCAGAAAAATATTTCGTCTCCAGATTTTGATGCAGATTGATAGAAAATCGATGTACAAATCGTTTGAGGTATTCCGCTCAAGAATCAGATGAGTATTGACCGAGATATAGCCTTCGCTGGTAGCCAAATTCTTGTTTCATGCATTTCCCTAATTTTTGAAGGGAGTCCTCCAGAAAATTTGACAAAAAATCGAAAAAATATTTCGTCTCCAGATTTTGATGCAGATTGATAGAAAATCAATGTAAAAATCGTTTAAGGTATTTCGATCAAGAATCGGAATAGTATTGGCAAAGATATAGCCTTCGTTGGAGGACATAAGTATTGTGTTTATTTCGTAGATTAGGTTTATTATTCATCATTAGGTTTATTCATCATTTTAGATTAGATATTTAGATCAGATAAAAGAGTAGCTATTTCTAAAATCCATATTTGAGTGGGCTATTTTCTAAAGGATAACTGAAGGGTATAGGCTTCCCATTTCTTAAATAAATCTCTTGTTACCTTAAGATTCACAACTTCTTTGGCCAGCTTGATGATTTCCTTGGTGCCGTGGACATTGATGGCGATGGCCATTTTGAGCTTCTCATCAAATCGAACAGTGGCAGCACTGTGAAGGACAATGTTGACGTTCTCCAGGATCGTTTCGCGTTCGTCGGGTGAAATGCCCAAGCCAGGAAGCGAACAATCTCCACTGATGATGGTTATCTGGCAGCGGTACTTGGGGTTAACCTGCTTCATCTTGTCGAAGACCTGAAACCAAAAAAACAAATTAGTTTATATTGTGATAAGTTAAGAAATCAATTTGTTTCACTTACCGGATCGTTAAACAGATCCTCGATGCGAGCAAAAGCATCCTTGCCCTTCTTGGTACGTATCAGCAAATAGATTTGTCCCACCTCTGTGACGCGCAACAATTTCTCAATGATAACTGGAGGAGACAGGGCCAGACAGGACAAAAAAGGACGAGACAGATGGAGGGAAAAAGGGCGTGTAAGTATGTGGGCGAAATTCCAGTCACGTACTTGGGAGTCAAGTGGAACTTACTTTTGCCAAAGAATCCTGTGCCGCCGGTGAGGAAGACGCCCTTGTCCTTGTAGAACATTTGCATGGGCGACTCGTCTGAGGGAAGAGATCAATGCAAACAGTCATTAAACAATTAGCCAATTTGATGCGCATCATTGATGGGCTCGGTTATCCGCCACATCATCCTCCGTATCCCCCACATCCGACCCGGCATTCTGCCCCAATCTGTTGACTGTTTGTTCGGTTTCGGTTCGGTTTGGTTTGTTTGCCACCAACTTGAAGCGCCGTCACGAATTTAAATGCGCATCAAATGCCACTTGAATTGCGCATAATTCACGCCACCCACAGACACAGAGACACACGCACCCGCACACCCATAGTGCCATACACAAAATCGCACACCAGCCAGCCAGCATAGTTGAGGGGTCACGAGGTTAGCTCCTGCCTGCATTTTTGCCAAAGTGCCAAAACGGCAACAACACTTGACGTTTCAACGTTGCCTGCCAATGGATCTGTATCCCCCAGCCTCCCTTTATCCCACCTCTCTCCGTCCCCCTCTTGGCAGCCCATCCATCTCTGCCCCACATTGTTGTTTGCGGCATCGGTTGCCTCCGTTGCCTGCCACTTGCTGGGCCACTCATAAATATTTGCAAGTTAGCAGCTCGTCGAGCCATTCATCTATTGTCTAAAACGCACACACGCCTAAAATCCTCACACACACACACACGGACAGAGTTGCATATGCCACACGTTTGCTGCCACATGCACTCGAAAAAAATAGTAATTCCCATTTCATTACTCTGATTTGGGATGTGGGTTTTATTGAAGATTTTGATTTGGAAATTTGGTCGGTTCTGTAGGTTTTAGTTTCTGGTTTGAGTTAACTACTACTTTAACTCTAAAGAGGCTATTTTTAAAACCATAGCTAGCCATAGTTCGGGCCTTAGCTCGCAAAATAAAAGCGAACCGGTAGAAACTAAAATATTTACCCAAACTATTTTTGCTAATTTTAAACAAAGAAACTAGTAATTAGCACCTGTATTATATTCAGAAAGTGCTTAAAATAACTAGGTAAATACTTGAACATAATACTATAAAATATAGTTAGGGGTTCGAACTTCTAATATTTTCTCCCACTGTAAGACCTTTAAACATTCCTCAATTGAATGGCATCCCATCTTGAGATGCTCCGTTTCGCCTTCGTTTGCCTTCGCTCCGAGAGATGCCTAATTGCCAATCGTCGACGTAAATCACTGTCAGTTGTTGGACTGGGAGCCCCGTTCATTCACATCCACATCCAGCCAGACAGCCCGTGCACAATTGCCACTTGATAATTGCATAATAAATGCAACATTGTTGAGAAGGATGTAATGCCTCCGGCTCTCCCCATTGCCCCCGCTATGGCCCTGGGCCAACAAACACATTCATACAGCTGCGGCAAAAAAAATAGCACTGAGATGCACAATTTTCTTTTTTGAAACATTTTTTGAAAACTATTTGTTTTTTTGGCTTCTTAATGGAGTTTTTATAAACATTAGGTTATAATTAAACAATATAGAGCGAATTTGACCTCAATTTTAACAAACTTTGGAAAATTTTTAAGTAAGAATGATAAATTTGAACATTTGAGGCGGCAACAAAAATAGCACTATTTTTTTGAAAACATAAAAAAATTTAAAAAAAACATGGAAACAACCGGAAAGTTTTCAAATTATTATTTTAGATTGTAATCTTTATCTAAAAAATGCATTAATAATTTGTTTTAAAGCTTTTGGCAGAAATGATAGCTTCACAATGTCTCGGCATTGAATTAACCAATCTTTGGCACCTTTCCAGTGGGATATTGCTCCAAGACTCCTTGACAGAAAGCTCAAAGCTCCTTAATATTTTTTGGATTTGTATTTGAATCAAATTTTTTCACATCAGACCACAGATTTTCCATAGGATTTAGGTCTGGGGACTGAGCTGGCCAATCCATTACATGGAGAGATCTGTCTTCTTACCACTTTCGAGCTTTATTGCTGGTATGCTTTGGGTCATTATCCTGTTGGAAGACCCATAACAATTGCATTTCATCCTCAGCATAAGGCAGCATGACGTTTTTCAAGATTTCGGAGTATACGAGTCGATCCATTATACCATATTGGGACCAACTCCGTAATACGAGAAGCATGCCCAAACCATAATACTGGTTCCACCGGGTTTAATGGTATTGTACGTAAAGCTGAGACGGTATTTCTAATTTTGGGGTCGCCTTAAATATAAACGAGATCCTTTTTCTCAAAATTGAACGATTTTGCTTTCATCGGACCAAAAAATATTTCTCAATTTTTCTGCCGGCCAATTCGGATGTTCTTTGGCAAACGAAATCCAACTTGCCCCATGCTTCACACTCCAAAGGGAAACTTTTCTGGGGCTGTGGGGACTTAAATCGTTTTTTTAAAGCAATTTCGAACAGTTCTAATTGATGACGAAATATTTAGCTCCATTTTTAGCTCAGTAGCCGGATTAAAGGGCGACCCCTTGCTCTCACGAACCAGCCGGTTGACCTCCAATTTCGACAAGGCGACCTTTCTACCGCAACTTTCTGCCTTAGGAACATATTTTAATGCGTTGCTAATCATTTTATTTGAAAAACCGACAATTCTCGCCACCTGAGCATACGTTTTGCCTTCCTCAATAAGTTTTCAAAAGATTATCCTTTGGTTATCACTGCAGTGCCTTTTGTGACCCATATTTATTTTTTTTTCCGATCCAATTCGTAAGAACTCTGTTACTGCAATGCTCTCTAATGTAATCAGTAACTAAAAACATCAAAAAACTTCAAAAAACTTGAATCTTTGATCAAAACCATTTTTAGTGCTATTTTTGTTGCCGCTCTCTTTTGCATCTTACTTGCTAAAATGCCCAATATATAACAAACCGATGGCTAATTGAGATTTAATTCACTTCTCTCATAGAGATAACATGTAAGCCTACATTTTAAAATAAAATAATCAAAACAATTTCAAAGAAAAACATAATTTGTAATGCATTATAGAAAATTGTGCATCTCAGTGCTATTTTTTTTGCCGCAACTGTACAAATACGTCTTGACACCTAGAGCTGACACCAGCAACAGCTCCTGTCCAATGGGAAGCCACCGTTATGGTATGCCCGACGTCCTCCACCCCAGCCCAAGTAGCCTCCTTGTAGGAAATTCCTGCCCTGAGGCCGCACTCAACCACAAGCACTTGGCTGGCTCACTCAAATGTTTTGTTTACCTATGCTAATTGGCTTAAATGCAACTCAAGCCCACTTCGCATCGCCTCGCGCCGAAACAGCAACTGAAAATGTGCCAGCACTCGCAGACAATCTCCCAGGGTGGGAGGCGCTCCATCCCTCCTGCTAACCGCCCACCCGAAACAAAACCCATCATTGTTCGTGGACGCAACGAAATTGAGCCGCTCACTTGGAGATTGGAGTGTGGAGTGGTGGAGTGACTCGAGTGGAGTGCGGCGTTTAAAGCATTTTCGAGCGCTTTGGGGCATTTGTTTAACGCTAACTCTAACACCCTCCCAAACGCCATCCCGCCATTCCGACCATCCAGAGCAGCACCAACATCCCAAGCTCCAACAACAAGGGGCACCCACTTTGAGTGAATTGTCAACAATTTTTGTTGGCTCTTTGGATTTTGTGGGAGCACCGCACCGCGCCACACCACGCCACGCCGCGCCACACTGCGGCACACAAAAGTCTGTCACATAATTTGTCAATTTCAACAAATTTTTGTTTTTGGCCCAACCTTTCAGTTGTTCTGCTTCGGGCACCACCCCCGCTAATGTAATATTTCACATAAATGCCTTTTATTTTTCCAGATTTGTGGCTGGGGAAGCGGGTTCTGTATGATCTTGGCGGGGTCTGTATTATTTTTTTTGATGGTCACTCACCCTTGACGTCGTTTATGAGCTGACAATGATCTTCCCGTGTCTTCATGCCGTTCATGATGTTCATTATTTTGGGATCATCCATCTTAGCCACGTAAGTACTTCCTAATTATCTGTAGAGTAAAGCAAAAAAATATAAAGTTATTAAGAATCCAGGAATTTCGGGTATTTCATTGAAAGTATTCATGTGCATATTAAGTAAATTAGTCATCGTTAATAAGTCTCTCTTGTGAGGTTTGTGAAAAATGCTAATCAGCTTACAAAGGGGGTGTCCATCTCTGCTAATTCATGTAAAGAGGGGTACTGAGGAGCGACAAAGATAATCCTTTAATTGAATATCTGGTCACCCATTCAGTTCACCGCACTGTCGACTGGCTAGCAGAGAGAAGTTTTCCAAATTATTCCTTTAATTCGAGCCAGATGAATGGGAAGCTAAAACCATAAAGCCAATTACAAGCGCCCCAAAGCGGTATCCATGCGACTGTTTCTTGGCTACTAAAAATCAAATATATATATACGTAATATATAAGTAAAATTCGCTCCAGTAAAGCTCGAAATTTAATTAAAACTTTGCTCCTTGTTGCAGGACTAGAGAAACAGAGAAAGGGCGATCCCAACAGAAAGAGAGACGACGCGAACTGAAATTTCTAATGAAGTGCCAGACGCACCTGTTGACGCAGCAGCCAAAAAACACGAAAGCAAAAACAAAAAGATACGAAACCGAAAAGCCCAAAATGAGACTCTCAACTCAAATAAAATTTAATAAAATTCAAATTTTGGTAACCAAATAATGCAGCACAGTTTGCTGAGGTGAGTTAAACTATGCAAAAGTTGCGATAACGAATAACGAATGAATTACAGAATTTTTGGAAACTCGTTTCATTTTCAGCAGAAAGGTGCAAATCCAAACTGGAATGCCAAATTAAATGAACTCGTTCCCCACCATAGCTATTGCAAAGTGCAGTCTCACTGTGACAGCCATTTAAGCAAGTATTTTAGGAAATATTTCATCTGAAAATCGTGATGACAATATCAGGTTATTGGCTGACTAATTCTGTACATTGCCAAGCTAAGAGTGATAATTACACTTCCCTTTAAAAGTGTCAGGTTCCAAAAGTTAATGAAAAAGTAATCAAACCCGTGAGGTACTAGTTCTCTGTCAAATATCTTATTAAACAAAGGCTGTCAGCAAACAGAAGCAAATAACTATGTAAATACAGTGCGGTTCATAATTAAATAAAATACCAGTTTAAAGGTACGAATTGGGTGTCTATAATTAGCCCGAATTACTGGCTGCGTAATGAACCCAAGAATACCAAATTATATAAATAGGTGACTCGGCTGAATCATTAGATTAAAGTACCTAGCGATAAGGGTGTAAAATAAACCGCCAATTAGAATAATGGTGCAACTTTGTTCGGATATTACACAGATTTGAATATTAAGCATAGATTTGAAAGACAGTCATAGCTATGATTAGTAAAGGTGGAAAGACCTTTCATAAAGATTGACTTTGAAGGACCTAGACTTTAAACCTGTAGCGGCTTTCTGTAGAGACCCATGAACAATGGCGGAAATACACAAAAAAAGATCCCTGTCAGGTTATTCAAAACGAGACAAAAGAATTGCAGGACATCCACTGTGTAAATTAAAATTAAATAATTTCGCTCAAGCCAAAGAGTCAGACAATTAACCCACATCTTTCATATTTGCAAATGAAAACAGATCCCCGAAATTCTGAACCACCTGCCCCACGAAGCCCCTTCGCCTTTTCAGTAGCTGCTGCTGTTGCTGCTACTGCTGCTCTGTGGCTGTGCGGCAGTGAGGCAGTGGCGTGTTGCATTTCACACCAATTGAGGAGCTTTTACACCACTCGCGCTTGAGTCGGCGCTCACTCAGTCGAATGAATGACGAAAGCAACGCAATGCAATCCAATGACAGCCGCGCCGGCTGGAAAAGTGGGATGGCAAAAGGTGCGGCACAAACAGACAGGGACACTTGGTTAGCCGGGCAGCCTGCCAGCCAGCCAGTCAGCCAACCCAGCTTCATCCGACTGACTGACTGAGTCACTTTCTGACTGCCTTCCCCCCAGTGCCTGTGTTTTTCTCTGGCTAACTGACTAGATGGCTAACTGGCAGTGTCGGCCAAAAAGCCACTGCAGCTGATTGCACCACGCCGGTGACCACAAAGCCGCACAGGAAAAAATACATTACTTAATGCACTCTATGATATTTACAGAAATAATCCTGATATTAACTTTATAACCATTTAAATTTGTGATTTTATTAAAGCACCTTAATCTTAATGTGGCTAATATATTCGAAAAAATAGACTTTATTCCCAGTGTTTAGAAGCCAATGTAGGGTCCATCTAACAACCATTGGAAGAGCTTCGAAAGGTACTATACGCACTGAGTGAACCACTGATGCACATGCCACTGATACAAGGGGCAAGGGGCAGTGGACGGTGCAGTCGACTTTGTAGATGAATTTATACATTGTTTAAGTATCAGCCGCAGATACTGAAGCCCCTCCTAACGGCGCCCCTGTGTCCGCTCAGTTGTCGACACCGAAACTCCATCGTCAATGCACATCGAAGCGCAGCTAATTGAAACAGTTGGGAACAGTGGACTAAAATAGGGGAAAAAGAGGCTTATAATTATGGAATTATTTTTAAAGAAAGGATTAAATAGATTAAAGGATTTAAAACAATATATATTTTGAAGATAGAAGCCCATGCAGCAGTTCTTAAAATAAAATTCAAGAGGTCTTTGTCTGAAGCTTTAGTTTCACTTAGTACTAAAGAGCCACAAATTAGTTTACTTTTAAGTTGTCTTAACCAACATTTAAGCTATATTTAGGCCACTGTTTTGACTCCATCCGATGTTGCCACTTCTGGTACTTCTTTTACTTTTGGCGCTTGTTTGCGTGCGGTGCACGATACTGCTGCCGCCTGTAGTTGCAGTTGTTGCTGCTGCTGCTGTTGCTGCTGCGGATTTTGTTTGCTTTGTTGTTGTTGTTGTTGGTACTGCTGGTGGCGCTGAGCGGCCTGCTGCTGCTTTCTGCACCAGCAGCAACAATAACAACAAGACAAAACTTTTTGGGGCAACAATGGGCCGAAAAACAAAAGAATGAACCACGACAATAACACAATTTCAGAAGGGGTGCTGGGGGCAGCTTTGTTAGCAATGCAACAACATTGCAACAACTGCACCACTTCGCATATTTCAATGGCGGACCGCACTGGCCCAGGCCGGCCAGAATGCGATCCCCAAAGCCCACCCACCATTGAGGTCCTTTGCTATCCAGGACACACCCTCTCGTCGAACACTTTTGACGAGGCTCATTCGCTTTGAATTTTATTTAATGGCTTTGTAATAAAGTGTAAAATGGCGAAAAAGTTCAAACAACGGAGAAATGCAAAGGAGTGGAAAGTGCGAAGGGTGCATAATATCAGCAACATCATTATCATCGCCATAGCCATCGCCATCGTCAGGATGCAGAACCGAACAGAAGGACCTGAAGCTGAATAAGTAAGAACTGCGGCCAACACCAGTGGCCACATTAAAAGAAGAAGAAATAATTAACAGCAACAGTTTGAAAGTCCATAAAATGAAAATGGCCAGGCATTGCCTTGATGTAGCTACCACCCCCTACCCACCATCCAGTGGAACCTACACTCCTGCCTGCATCACCATTACCGGGAGTGGTGCACGGACGCTGTTGGCATCGCAACCGCCGCGGCCATCACCGCATGTGCCATACAACTTCCGACTTCCGTTTCTGGCTTTGCCCTGTCTGAGATCTGGAAGCTCGAACTCCAACTACGGCTGGGTGTTCTGGACCGATCCCATGGCATAGTGTACAGCTGCATCAACAGTAGTTGTTTGTCATACCCTTTGCGATAAGTGGCCATGACTATGCAACCGATTTGACAATTACAATTCAAATATGAGATAATGTGCAAACAAAATGATTTAATACAAAATGCAAATGATTCTAAAGTATAGAGAATCCGGCTTTAATAGTAAATGATATTGTATAACTCTAAATGCTATTTACAGTCTATATAATGCCCGAGAAATTCCTTCGCGAACTCGATTTTCCGTTAGTACGGATATTGGAGTTAAAATTGTTAAGATATAGAATATCTATATAGTTTGTATAAATCCTATTACCTATATTATATATAGATAATATAAAGAATATAGTATACTTTTAGCTTTTAACGATAAGTAATATTCTTAAGAGAGCATTATCCTTTCGCTATAATATTAATGAACTGTTTCATTTTCAGATTTCGTTCTTTGCTATTTGTTGATGATGCTCCCGCTGGTGTTGCAATGGTTGTTGCTTTTGTTGGTGTTGTTGCTTTGGTTGGAGTTGCTGCTGTTGTTGCTTTTGTTGGTGTTGTTGCCGTTGTCACTGGGTTGACACACAAGCAAAGAGTCGGTGCGAAAAATGTTCGTTAAATCTATTAAAAGATAATTACGTGAAGACAAATGGACGGGTGGCAGGAGAGCACCACAGGGTGTCTGGCGTATCTTTTTGCCTCGTCGGCTATCGAGTGTCCAGTGGCGGTGTCCGTATCCGTGGCTCTGTCCGTGCCTGTTGTCCGTATTCGTGTCCGTGTCCGTAGCTGTAGCCGTGCTTGCCACTGCGGTAGTCAACATTCATTCATACATACGTTTGTACGTATATCCCATACATATGCACGTTATTATTATTCGAGTTCGTTGATACGATAACGCTAATGGATATGGATATTGATTATAGTTTTTATGTCGCTTATGCATCGTTGCTGTTGCGGTTGCCAGCTCCTCGCCTCGCCTCGCCTGGCCCAGTCTCCCCTTCCTCTTGCTTTTCACCCCATTTGCCATTTCCGTTTCCCATTCGCCGGCAGGACTCGCTTTCCCAGGCTACTCAGTGCTCTGTGGTGGTAATGATAATTTTGATTATATTGATGCGTCATTTTATGAGCCGCAATGGTATTGAAATTGAGTGGTCTGTGACAGCTCCTAGTTTATAGCAACCATAATGGCAGCCCATTCTATACTCCTATACCCCAGCCCACCCATTCAATTCCAATTAACAGCTGCTCTAATGAATCCCCC